TTTTATAAAAAATTAATATAAAAAAGTAATTAATAAAAAAAATTATTAAGTAATTTAATATAAGAAAAATTATTAAAATAATTTCTTTTCAAAAGAAGTAAAAAAAATATTATAAGTACAAAATTATATAAAAAAATAAATACTCATAATATCACTTTTGTTTTTTTTATTGTAATATTAATATATAAATATGTAAAAATAATTTTATTAAAAAAAAAAAAGAATAGAGAAGTTTAAAAAGGAAACTTTTCCCACGACCAAAAACACCGACTAGTGAAAAGTTATTTTTCAAGAGAAAACGGCGAAAAATTTTGAACCTAGCGAGAAAAAGAAAAAGTTGGTGTTAAGTACTTCACTTTTTTATTTTTTCTTTGTGGGTTGTTGGCACGTCATTTCAACTTCCTAAAATAAATACACTATCATTCATGATTAATCTTAAGATTTGCAAAAAAATAAAATAATAAAACTAATAAATAAATCACCTCCTAAGATTTTATACAAACTAAAACATGATATTAGTAATAAACAAAGGTCAAAGTAATTGCTGGCCAAAGATTAGATAATAAAATCCCTAATTTTCATATAATAATAGGTTTCAACTTCCAATTAGTTTTGTGACCCGATAATTATATATTTCTTATGTAAGATGCAATCACTTAATCCTAATATTAGGATTCGAATCCCAAATTGTAATCTATTAAAAAAATAATAAGGTTTCTATTTGTATAATTTTCAATTTCTTCCAAGTAAGGACCATCAAGTCCCAATAGTCCCCAACCATGTAATAGAGTCCAAACTAGGGCAGATTAGAATGCCATCATGCCCCTAACTCAATCCATGAATCACATTAAAAATTCACTTGAAAATTGAAAATTGAAAATTTGAACCAACCCTCAATAACTACTAATTTTTATTTTTCAGGCAATTTACAGTTCAAATTATGTAGTACAGAAAATACTAGAAAATTATATAAAAAACAACAACGACATCAGGGTTATTAGGCTTACGAACTAAGCTACTCGGACCTGTAACTGTCAAAGGCAAGTTCCGGCTGGCCGGCGACGTAGTTGAGGAGTCCTTCACCGGCATTCTCAGCAGCGGAGTCCGAGCCAGGTGGAACGGAGGTCTTTCCGAAAAAGACGACGGCGATTAGGAAGAGTACGGTGGAGAGGAGGAGTGGCCAGAAGTAGGCGAGAATGGTGAGGAAAGAAGGCGAGAGGATGATGAGAGAGGAGACGGCGGCGACGAGAGTGACTCCGATGAGTATTTGGTACTTGAAGTTCAGAAGCTTCTGCGCGATCTCCATGGATTTGACCGAGATGGGGATGAGAAATGATGCTTCTTTCTTTGCTTGAGAGAGGGAGAAAATGGGTTGATTTGGGAGTTTTGGGGTTGGTGTTGGGTCATTAATATAATCATGAATTTATAATTATGTTTTGGCTAGAAATTTTAGACGAAATGATTTCCTTCTTTATTTTGAGTTTATCTTCTCGAAGGTTACACAAAAGCAATAGCATTTTCTTTTTTTCAAAAAATGTGTTTTCTTAATTGAAATTGCACATTAAAAATAGCAAGAAGGGTAAACTTTAAGGCAACTTTATATTTAAAATATCACAATTATTTTAAAATATAAAAGATATTTAAATTTTATTATTATTTTTTTAATATTTTTTGTAATTTCTTAAAAATATAAGGAAAAAGTATTTGTATTTATTATGTAATTGGACCTTCACAACATATACAATTGGATGAAAAGTAATCTTTTAATATTAAAAGTTATTTTTTATTTAATAAGTTTTACTATTTAAATTATACACTAAAAAAAATTTATCTAATTTGTATTATTAAAGTATATATTAAAAGTATATTAAATATATTTTTTTGTTATAAATTTATATAAAAAAATAAAAATTAATTTTTAATTTATCAATTATTCAATTAAATTTATTTAATATTAAAATTAATACAAAATTTTACATTTTTTTATGTACATTTATAATAAAAAATATTTAAGGCACATTTTAAAAAAATTAATAAAAAATTAAACAGTAATAAGTTTTTAAATATTTTTTTGAAAGTGGCAACAGGAAAGGTGATAACTTATAAGGGATAAGGAGTCTCAATGGAGGGGTTCGAACTCGCAAGGGCCTAGGTGGAACACTCTTAACGTAGCGCAGCTAACCACTGACCTCAACCTGGTGGTTCAACGGGCACGTTGATTTTGCCAAGGGCAACCAACAATGTTTGAAAGGTAAACGAATGAATTGGAATGCACACAAAACCTTTGTCCTTTCACTAGAACTGTCGGCTACTTTATAGTTTGTTTTGAAATTAAGACTGCTTTTAGCTCTAGGTTTAACCAAGACTTTTGTAAGTTAATGGGTGAAGACCCAACATGCCTTCGATATCATCTACTCACTCCATGTGAGAACCACAATACCCTTTAAAGTTTAAACTCCTTTTTAACCTCACTCTAACTTTTCTATCCCAATATTTTATAATAAATGCAATTTTCGTACTTTTTTTTTTTTTTTCCTGTTGAACCCATTCTTTATAAAAAATTTATATTTGAAAACTTAAATACAATAAATTTAAGATTTTTTTTTTCTTTTTGTATGTTAATGATGGGCTTTATAGAATAGGGATAACTTTATCATTTCCAAACTTCTTTCTATTTATTCTCTTATTTAAACTTGAAATTTTAAGTGTAAAAACTCAAATCTCTTTAACAGTTAAATAACTTTTTTTTAAGAATATTTTTGTGATTTAGTGACGACCTTCCTCTTGTTAAGGACTTCTTATGTTAAATTTCACAATGTGAGGTTGAAGCCACACCCCCAGTGTTCAAAAAAAAAAAAAAACAACTTCTTTAATACATTAAAATATAGAAATAAGCATTATTGAGATTTGAGATTATTACTGGATGGGCTTGGCTTTGCTTGGGTGCGGCCCATTTATACCCAAACCCGTCAAAACTTTCCAAAAAGAAAAAAATGAGAAAAACTCTGAAGCCGAACTCTTTTTTTTTTTTACTTCAACTGATTTTAGTTCTTGAAGGCCTCGTGATCGAATCGACATGGTGTCGTCTGTAGTTGTGACTACCATCTCCATGTCCGTAACCATGGCGGTTCTCTCCTACTTCCTCTGGCACAAAAAGAATCATAAATCCTTCTCCTCCAAGAAGAAGAAGAAGCAGCCAGGAAACGGGGTCATCGATGCCATTGGAAACACTCCCTTGATTCGTATCGACAGCCTCTCTGATGCTACTGGCTGCGAGGTCAGTCTTATCTCTCTCAGTTAAAAGATTTCATCTTTTGTTGATTTTGGCATCTTGATGTTCTTAAAAGTTATGCCTTTCTGTTTGAATTTGTGAGCTTCTTTGAAAGTTTTTTTTTTTTTTTTTTTTAAACTATACTTGATGATGATAGCTGTCTAATTTGCCTTGTGTGTTTAAACTTGATGAATGATGATAAGGATTTAAGAGTCTTCATGGCTCAAGCTAGGGGTTCTCCACCAGTTGTGTCATATGGGTCCTCTTCTATTTTCTGTCAGTGAAGATATACATATTCCACATTTGGTGAACAGATTGTTGAAAAAAGGTTCATTTTGATGGGCTCCTTTGTTATTGTTTTCTTATGGGTTTGCAGATTCTTGGAAAGTGTGAGTTTTTAAATCCTGGTGGCAGTGTGAAGGATAGAGTTGCTGTTCAAATCATAAAAGAGGTACACTACATGTTCTCTGTGCCTATGTACGTTACTTTGTAAAACACACAAGAGAAATAGAGTCGTTTTTGGATTTTGGATTTTGTTTTATTTCATAGTACTCATTACAGTCATTAAGTGGATTGAGAAGTTTATGGAAATTGAAAACTAGAAACTAACTCTAGTTGTAGGTTTAAACTTCATTAAAGATGTTAATGAAACAGGATAGAAAAGAAAAAGAAAAAGGTGATTTGTAGACATGATTAGTGAAGGTGATTAGATTCATCCTAAGAAAGACTTGAAAGTTTTCTAAGTGCTCTACATGTCTTCTTGCTGAGAGTTCTTTATGTTCTTCATCATTTTACAGTTGCTTATGCATTTTCCTAGTGATGCAAAATTGGACACAATTTGATGCTTGATTCTATTTCTTATAATCTGCATTACAATATGCTGGGAGTTTTGTTTGTGCATGTTTTGTTTTCTCGTAATACTTCCCAGCTTGTTTCTCAATATAGGCTCTGGAATCTGGTAAGCTAGCTCCTGGTGGAGTTGTCACTGAGGGCAGTGCTGGAAGTACTGCAATTAGCCTTGCTACTGTGGCTCCTGCCTATGGGTGCAAATGTCATGTTGTCATCCCAGATGATGCTGCTATTGAGAAGGTACTCTACTCTTGGTTTATTTTTCTATACTTGTAACATCATGAGCTGGGTTTTCCTGGCTTTTTCTTGTCCTGCTTTTCAGCTTTGTCTCTATTTTCTAGATGCAATCTAAGCAACATGATTATATCTGTTGGTTTCTTATGAATTCTGGCAGTCTCAAATACTTGAAGCCTTGGGTGCTACTGTTGAAAGGGTAAGGCCAGTTTCAATTACCCACAAAGACCACTATGTCAATATTGCCAGGAGGCGTGCGCTAGAGGCAACTTTATTGGCTGCAAAGCGTAGAAAAGCCAACCAAATGGATGGTAAAGACTTGGAGGAAATGAATAGTTGCACCCATGATTGGGAGAAACAGAATCCAGTGTTCTCAAGTAGTTGTACTGGTGGTTTCTTTGCTGATCAATTTGAAAATTTAGCAAACTTTAGGGCCCATTATGAAGGTACTGGACCTGAGATCTGGGAACAAACTGGTGGTGATATAGATGCATTTGTGGCAGCTGCAGGCACAGGCGGCACCATTGCTGGTGTTTCCAGGTTTCTTCAGGTTAAAAATTATATTCCTCTTTTAACTCTCTCATTCATAATGTATGGGGAAAGTCATTAAAACAATCATCTCATTTTGAACAGGAAAAGAATCCAAAGGTCAAGTGCTTCCTCATAGATCCTCCTGGTTCTGGTTTATTTAATAAGGTAACAAGAGGGGTCATGTACACTCGGGAGGAAGCTGAAGGGAAAAGGCTGAAGAATCCATTTGACACAATAACAGAAGGCATTGGTATTAATAGATTAACTCAGAATTTCATGAAGGCAAAGCTTGATGGGGCTTTTCGAGGCACAGATAAAGAGGCTGTTGAAATGTCGAGGTCAGTAAATGCAGTGTTATTTCTAAGCTCTTCTATGTTTACTGTCTGCATGATCACACCATAGGTAGTAGCACCTACCCTGTTGATGCATTAGAAAACTGGACAACTTTTCTCTTAAAGTCATAACATGAAAAGTTGTTTATTTCTGTTCAATCTAACCCAAAATGGTTGTAAACTTTTGTCTAAGAAGATAATTTTCTGCCTATTCTAATTTTTTTTTAGTTGGGTTTAAGCCAGGCAATAACCTTGCTTAATTTTTCAGGTTCCTTCTTAAAAATGATGGGCTCTTTCTTGGGAGTTCTTCAGCCATGAACTGTGTTGGAGCAGTAAGAGTCGCACAAGTTCTTGGGACTGGCCATACAATTGTAACCATTCTATGTGATAGTGGAATGAGACATCTAAGCAAGTTTTATGATGCACAATATCTTTCTCAGCAAGGTCTGACACCAATCGCAACTGGATTAGAGTTCATGGGTACCAAATGAGTTCATGGCCTTATGAGATGGTGACTCTAATATTCATGATTATATCATCAGTTTTGCAGTAGAACATGAAGGAGTTACATATTTCAGGCATTTTGGGGATTAAGATTTAAGAGATGACCCATATCATTGGGGCAGAACAAACACAATTGATTCATAGATTACACACGTGTATTAGGCTGATTTTGTCAAGAAAAAGAGGGTGGTGACTGGTGTGAGATCAATACAAATTACTTTTTGACAACTACATTTTTTTTGGATACTGTAGTTCTTGAAGCATATAGTCATTCTCTGGTCCTTTTGGTATTCTCATTTTGGAAAATGCTGAGTGTTTCAGATATGAGATTTCTACTTCTGTTCCTCAGAAAAGCCATTAGAAACATTGGCAAATGAAGCATTGACAGATCAAGAGCCGACACCTCCCTCTTCTTTTGCATACTAAGGATTCCTTGGGTTTTTTTTTTTTTCCCCTTCTTCTGTTGGTTGTGTAAAACAATAAGGTTAATTGAAGCTTTCAGTTTTGCCCGATGGAATGAATACAAAACAAGAAGTTTTGATCACATCTTTTTTGAAAGGCAAAAATTTCGATCATAATAATATCTTTTTATAGCTAACTGAAATGGTATAACCGTAGAATTATTGTCATCTGTCATGATACATAACCTCAATGATATGTTGTCTCCAATGAGATCGAAACTTGTTCTGATGATGGGTCGGTAATGGCAATAGAGTCAGTCCAATTTTGCACAGATAAAATATCTTAAGCTGTAAAAATGCTCCACTCATTCGGCGTTAGACACCTTCTCAAATTGTGACTCTTCACAATGTGGATCTAACCAGTCTCTAGGAGAACCCTTTTGCATGTTGGTGCTTAGTCGTCCAGCACCCACAAGTTCCTGCAAAATTTCCACCTTATTCTCTGGTCCTCTTCTACTGATCCTCCTATCTGCTTCCTTGAGTTTCTGCTTGAAGCGTTGCTTCCGACTGGACAAGTTGAGCTCTTGCTGCCTCGATTGTGAGGGAGGAGCCCCGTGTGGTCCCAGATAGATGTTCTCTTCCTTAGTCTGCTCAAGCAAAATGCATAATACATTTACTTTCATTAGCAAGTTTAACAGCGAAGAAGAGAGGATAATAGCTTAACTGTTATCCTAGCACCCGTGTGCATATAAATTTTGCTACTAACCTTTGGAGAAGGAGGTTTTGAGGCTTCTACTTCTAAAGCATCAACTTTATTTGTATTTGAATCCTCTATTTCCAAGCTTGGAATCACAAAGCCATCAGTGTCTAGTTAATAACACAAAGCATATTGAAATCAGTATGTTGAATGGACACCTTAGAAAAAAATACCACAACCGCAGGACCAACCTAATCAAAGATATCACATAATTTACAATTGACAAAAAGATTAACAAAAGGCAAATGAGAATCGAGAACATAAAGGACAGTGAAGAAGCCAAATCGATTGAAATAAATAATCTTCATTCTTCAGTCCCTATTTGTGCATTCTAATTCTAATGACCAGATGATTACAAGTTTACTCAGTATATCTATTGAGAGATGTTTGAACTGAAGCTAATGCATGCAATCATCCTTCTCTACTAAAGTCCAACTGTCTGTGGTGCCAGTATTCCACCAGTTTTCTTGACAGATTTAAACTGAACCTAACTTAAATTCGCGTTTCCATAGACAATTGGGCATCTTGATCAGTAAAATATGCACACAACAGAAGCAATTGCTTCAATATAAGAAGAAATACCAATTAATATTTTATGAAGACACACTGGGTACTATATCAAGTATGGCAACTATACATGGTACAGACAATTCCATTACAAATCACATATATGTATGTATACATATACGTATAAAGGCAGAATTTTCAACCATTTGGGCATATCTTGACCAAAAGATTAACTCAAATCAGACATCTTTACCGCCAAGCAAAAGCAAAATCAATATGTAAAAGGATGTTTAAAAGAACAAAGGAGATAACTATTCTGATTTGCAATAAGTTCACAATTCAAACTACCCATATATTAAGAATGGGAAAAAGATCCAAACTTTATTCTCAAATTGCTGCATTTATGGGAGAAACAAACAGAGAGAAAGGCAGCAAAGGAATAAACATACCCCACTCATCTTCTTCTTCATGGAGTGAAGGAGTGGTGTGCACTGGAGAAGGGTCCATGAGACACTGATGATCATGGATTTCAATGACCACAGGACACCAAAGCCAGGAAAGACCAAAAATCACAAACTGGAATACCAAAACAATATGACAAGGGAAAGGCTTTACGCATACAGGGCCAAAGAATCTAACAATTTTTAAAGCTTTCCTTTTTCTGTGAATTATAAGATAAATTAAAGGATACTAACCCTAGGGAAACCAGAAACATCTGATGCTAAAATTCTCTATTGGTATTTCTCTCTCTCTCTCTCTATCTTTTGGAATTGTGCTAACTGCGTATGTCCTGTATCAAAAATTAAAAAACAAAAACTTCGTAGTCCCAAAATTACTCATATGGAAATGGAAGTATGCATGATGGATGGTCGTGATTTTTGGTCTCCAATATGAAATTTAAACACATAAATAGTACCAGTTGTATGGTAAAAAGTAGAAGAAGAAACTGAAGTCCAGTTTGCATTGTGTGGATTATATCCATTTTTAACTATTAATAAAGAACTTATGCAGACCGCACTGTAATACTCTCAAAGTAAAAATAACAAAAACTGGGATGAAATCAGCTTGTCTGCAAAGGCTATAAGAGTCAATTTGGATGCAATGGATTTTTTTTTTCATTACTTTCCCCCTAAATTCTCTAAATGTTCTTCTTTAAAATGTTGTTTATATACTTTTATATATCAATATTATAATAAAATAAATATAAAATTAATATTTTTAATCTTTATTTACAATTCTTAAATTATAAACTTTTTTCTCACACTTTAAAAAAAAAAATTACTCTAACTTTTCTTTATATAGGATTTATATAATAAATTTTTTATTAAATTTTTTATATTAATTTTTTACTAAATAAAAAAATTAACAATTAAAATAAAATATAAATTCAAACCTTAAAAGAGATATATTAAAAGAATTAACAAAAAAAATTTTAAATTAAAGATAAAAAAACTTAATATTTCAAAAGAAAGTTTTAAAATTTTCAAAACGTTCTGATATGTTGAAATATTTATCAAACTATTGATCACGTAAATCTCAAATTAAGACCCACGTGATTGTTGGCTCAAGAATTTCTTGATTTTTTGTTTTTTATTTCAAAATGTTAAAATTATTTATAAAATTATGATAAAAAAAATTGTTTATAAAATTATTATAATACATCTAATAAATTAATTTAATATATTAATTTATTAAAAATATTTAAATAAATTTATAAAATAAATTATATTTTTAATATACCATCCATATTATAAAATACTTTTTTAAATATATTTTCAAATAATCGTACAGCATTTTTGATCTGAAACAAAATAAATGGAGTGGAGGGAAGCTGAATGGAAGGCCTCTCTCTCCTCCATCATTCCCCTTATAAATTAATCACACGTCATTTGCAAGAATCCAAAAACACCCCTACGTACTGTGGGCCCCTGATTTCCCAAGTTAGTTTATTAAACCAATCCTAGCCGTCAGATCCGTATCGAAGCCGAAAAGACACGATCATAGCCGTCAATCACTTCCAGTCTAGAAATTCGCGAGACCTGTCCGACGCGGTACTTAAACTCCATTTAAAATCCGGGTTTCAAGTCCGCCCTTTGAAAAATCGAGACACTTGGGAGAGTGGCTGTGGAGGAAATCCTGAAACAGTGAGGCAACCCGATTTCTTTTCGAACCTCTGGATCGAAGACGGTGCTAACAGATTCCGGTGAGTTCCTGAGGTTTTCCGGTTCCTGAACTTGTTTTTTTTTTTTTCTTTTTTTCTTTTTTTCTCAAGTCAATTCTCGATTTTGCGTGTTTTTGCTTCTGATTTCGTGGTGATTCGTGCCGCTTTTGGTAGTCAATTGTGCGTGAAAGGTTAGGGTTTTAAGGTTAGTGGTCGAAAAAGTTTAGGAATTTTTTTTTATTTTTTGGGTTTACCTGGTGCAGTGCAGAATTGGTTTTTGTTGTTCTGTTTGGATGTCTGGAAAATGCAGGAGACGAAGTTGAATTTTGAATTGTAGGCTTGAAATTTCTCATTTTGAAGTAGGAGAAGTTGGAAATTTCCTTACTTTGAGCTTGATATGGCTATTTAGCTATATTAACCTGAGGTTCCCGTTGTTAGGGCACCAAAAGGGCGTAGTGATCTATTTGCTTTTTTCTTTTATTCAGAGAACCAAGGAGAGGGTTTGGTTAGATGTTTCCAATCTATTCCTTTTAAGGGCCAAGTTTCATCTTTTCACCATTTTTGAACCTGGTTGAACTCCGGTAGATCTTGTGTATTGTTTAGCTTTGCATTTTTTTTTCTATACATGTGATATGTTTCCTTAATTTTATGTATTACACTTTTCTTTCCTATAGAGTTGGCTTTGCTCATTTCCATGCATATGGCCGATACTTTAAATATTTTTCCTAGTTTATATTTTCCTTATCACGCAGACACTGCATTGGTGAAATTGTCCTACAAAATTTACCTGCCTGCTGGTTGTGTAAAATTTTAATTAATTTCTGTTTTGAAAATTTCTTCAATTCCATTCTAAAGTTTGATAAGTTAAGGTACAGAAGTGTTTCTGCAATTGGGTTAACTATGGGTGAAGAAGAAACAAAGACTGAAGTCCCAGAGGCAGTAGCTAACGGCACTGCTGCATCAGAGAAACCTAGTGACACTGTGGATGACAAAACAGTGGAAGAAAATGATGGGCTAAAAGAAATGGAAGAAGATAAGAAAGATGAGGCTGACAAAATGGATGAAGACCCACCCCTAAAGGAAGATGAGGCAAGCAAATTGAAAAAGGAAGAACCAAATGGTGAAGCAATGGATGAAGAAACTGGTCCTATAGAAAATGATGAGACAGAAAAGGAGGAAAACAAAGAAGTGGAGGAGGAGGAAGGGTCAGAAGAAGAAGAAAAACAAGTGGATGAAGAGGAAGGGAAGACTGAAGAGATCAAGCAGACTAAAGGTTCAAGGAGGCGTGGGAAAGGCAAGAATATACGGGAGAAAGTCAAAGGGAAGACAAAGGACGGAGCAGCTAAGAAGGATGTAGAGCAAAGAACTCCTGTTACTGATCGCCCTGTACGTGAGCGGAAAACTGTTGAAAGGCTGGTTGCATCTATTGAGAAAGACTCTTCTAGGGAACTCCAAATTGAAAAGGTAATTTGTCAATTTGGTTTCATTTTTTTTTTTAAGAAAAAAAAAAATCTTTTCTCCTTCCATGTGTTTTATGCTTTTCAAGATCATGTATTTTGTGGGTACATATATTAATTGTTTGTGTTGGGAATGTGCAGGGCCGTGGTACCCCACTCAAAGATATTCCAAATGGTATGGTTATTTATCCCTTCCTCTAAAGTACACTGTTAAACAAAACCTAGATATGCTGTTGTTGGTAGGTGGAATTCTAGATTAATGTCTAGTGAAAGTAGAACTAGTGAAGAATCTAATATAAATAATTAAAAGCGAAGTTAGTGTGCTGGTATTTACAATGTATCCTATGGTATCAGCAAAAATTGGAGAATTTGGCAGCTCAGTTAAAGGCATTATACATTTTGCATTGTCTACTCAGAACATGTTATGTCCTGATCTCTGGTCATTGTTTTTTGTGTGATTCTTTTCACTTGATTTCTTTTCTCTTTCACAAGTTATTTTTAAAATTTTGTGAAGTGCTTGTAAATATTAATATAGTACATTAAATGCGAGTAAAAATAAATTACATATAACTACCTAAAGTATGTTCTCTTTTTCAGTTGCATTCAAGCTGTCTAGAAGGAAGAGTGATGACACTTTCAGGCTGCTTCATACAATACTCTTTGGAAGAAGAGGGAAGGTAACTTGGTTGGTGTCAATTTTCTTGTTTTTCCTGTCTTGTACTTCTCCTTTATTTCTACTCTCTCAAGTTTGCAATAAGTCTCCTTTATTTGTATGCACACATCTAATGAGGATCTTGCATTTATGTCTCTGGTTTAGAGGACCATTACTACATCATGGCTGTTAATTTTGCAAAAACTGTTTTTGATTTGCTTTTCATTTTTTGTGATTCAATCAATATTCTGCAGGCTATTCAGATCAAGGGTAATATATCCCGCTTTTCTGGTTTTGTGTGGCATGAAAATGAGGTAAAAGGCTTATGTATATTAAATGGTTTCTTTTGGTAGTGGTATGTTGGTGTTCATTTCACTGGCTTTTGCCATTTTGATATTGTCATAAGTGCAGGAAAAGCAAAAGATGAAGGTAAAAGAAAAATTCGACAAGTGTAATAAAGAGAAATTGTTGGAACTCTGTGATGTGCTTGACATAACAGTTGCCAAGGCTACTACAAGGAAGGTTTGTTAGTTGGCTGTTACCACTGCTTGTCGTTTCTGTATCATTTTATTGTCAAAAGACTTAATGTTGTTTGTATGCTGTAACTGTTCCTCTATTGTAAGAAAATAGTGGCTGTCTATTAGTTTGATGGTAGAAAAAAGACTAATTAACGCTTAGTTTTTCAACTTTCTTGCAAGCCAGTCACAGTCCTCAGTTTCTGAGTATATGTGTTTAATTCCATGCTCCTGAGTTGCCCAGCTTGTTTAATGTGAATTAAACATTGTTTATTGTGGTTCATAATATAGCTATCATGGGAGCATGGTGCATTTCCTGCCCTGTATGCAGTATTGGTGGTAGACTTGATCATTAAATTTGTCAGGTATTTACTTTTGTAAAATTAGTAGATAAGAATAGAATTGGACAAGGATAATAGTGCAAAAATTATAACCAGCAGCGTGAACCTAAAACTACTAATCTCTTACCTTTCTTTTGACTAGTAATTTTGGATACAAGTTTTCCTTGTTTTTAGATTAAGAGCCCTTCTTTATTTGTATGCTTAATTTTGTTTTCAAACTACTGGGAGAAGTATGTGGGCACTGATCACTTTGGGTCCAATTTACAAGTTTCAACAAATTAAGCTATATGTTTAGGTGTGGTACAAGTGAATTTTAAGGATGGATACTGGAGTTTGTGGTGAAGATTTATGGAATTACATTTCTGTTGCCAGATAAATCTTTATCATGCGTCTCTTTTGTCTGTAATTTATCTTCTGAGCAGGAGTGAAGTCTAATGTTTCCTACATAGCTTAAGTGTAACATCAATACTGACACATGAAATTAATCTGAAATATTTGTTAACAAGCTTCAATGAACCTGCAGGAAGATATTGTTACAAAGCTGATAGACTTTTTGGTGGCCCCTCATGCCACAACTACTGTGCTACTAGCAGAAAAAGAGAAGGTTCTTCTCTTCTAAGATACCATGGTTCTAAGTTTTTAAAATCTTTGTAAGTTTTTGATGTACATTGTGACTAAACTATTAATTATCCAGCCAAGTAAGGGCATAAAGCGCAAGCGGAGTAGCAAACAAAGTTCATCAACCTCTGGGAATGCTCCTTCAAAGCGCTCTGCAAAGGTATTGTTTTCTTATTTTTGGCAATGGCTGTAGAGTCCTAAATGGAATTAACTGCAAATTTGCAAGACTATAAGACAGCTTGTTATTTTACACTTCTACACTTTTCCTGTTGAAGCTTTTAATATATCCTTTTGATGATATATTTTGCCCCTCTCATTTTTATCCCTAGTTTTATTTTATTTTATTTTTTGTTCTGGCACTTTCTTTAGAGTCAAGGGAAGAATGAGGAGACTTTGGAAGCAAAAGGGGGTATTGATACAGAAGATGAGTCAGAAGATGAAGACAAGGAAGAGGAAGAAAATGAAGATAAGGAAAAGGAGAATGGTGTTCCCGAAAAATCTGAGGATGAGATGCCTGAGAATTCTGAGAGTGAGGAGAAAAATGAATCTGAGGAAGATGTGGGCAAGAAGAAACGTTCAAAGGCTTCATCCAGAAAGAAAGATTCTGCTAAAAAAGCTAAAACCAAGAAGGCCAAAGTTGCCAAAACATCCAGTCCGCCACCAAAAGTAACACCTAAAAGATCCTCATCCAAGCGTGCAAAGGTTGAGGATCATGATGATGAAAAAACTGCAAAGGCATCTTCCAGGAAGAGAAATATGAAAGTAACAAAGGAGAAGTCCTCAACCCCAGCAAAATCTGCCTCCAAGGAGAAACCTGGTAAAATAATGTTTCTTTATTCTTCCATTCTTTTACTCAATATGCCTTACTGTGACTGAAAATTTGTAGTTTGTTTTAGAAAATATTTATAAGATCCAAGACTGCACCCTGTTTCGCAACTTGGTAGCTGGAACTCCAACTGTTAAGGATGAAGAGTGATTGTTTTCATCCCAAATTATCGTCATCTGAAAAACTTCTATGTAATTGTTTAGGTAAAAAGGTTGCAAAAAGGAAGGACAAAGGTAAAGAGGAAAAACTGAAGCCAACTGATGAAGAGCTAAGAGATGCAATTTGTGAAATTCTTAAAGAAGTGGACTTCAACACGGTAAGATATGCCATTGATATTACCTGTATCTGTTGCTTTCATTGCAATGACATTGTGTACTTGTGGATTATTATAACATATAGCGTGCCCACTCTGGAAGGGAAATCAATGAGATCGACATATACAGAGTATACATGATCTACTTATGTTTTTGAAATCAGTTGAAAATCTTGTCCATTATTTGGTTGCAGTGCAAAATTTATTTTAATAATATTCATCGAGAAACCATCCATTCTAACCCTCACTCTGTAATTCGATTGCAAAATGACACAACAATTCAAGCATGCTTATGTTTTCTGCTCTCTTTGTAATTCAATTTGTGATTTCTTTTTCCTCGAAGGAATCTGTGGATACTTGTAACATGTTTCCATTTCCCGGGAAATTGTGGTGTTAAATGTTTGCCTAAATAAGTGTGCATTATATTCTTTTTCAGGCAACGTTCACCGACATTCTGAAGTTGCTTGGTAAACATCTTCTCACTCTCTTTTCATGAATTTATGAATTCTTTTACCCAAAAATTTTTATTTTGAATCTTACAAAATTACAGCAATGGTCCTACATTTATATTGGAGTGGATTTTATTCCCTTGTGCTTGATTGAGATTTGTCTATCTTTCAGCTCAACAATTCAATACGGATCTAACTCCAAGGAAGTCATCAATAAAACTCATGATTCAGGAAGAGCTTACCAAACTAGCTGATGAAGCAGATGACGAAGATGGTGAAGGCGATGCCGGGAAAGATGAAACCACCCAAACAACCCAATCCGTTGGCCAAGAGGTTGTAGCCTGATCAGCACACCAGTGACCAGAACATAACTCCATGAAAATGGCTTGTTAGCTATTTTCCTGTTGTATCCATATGCTCTGTTTAAGCCGTGATCGAGTAAAGCTGAGCAAGCTTGTAACTTAGTATTTTTATTTTCTTGGCAAACAAGATGAGATTCACAAACCAGTAGAGTATCTGGAGCTACCCAAGTGGTACTTTGGGGTGTCAATGTGCAGCTTGCTATATACCCTTTAGCATAAATTGTAGGAAGAATTTTTCAATCTAAATTTAACCAAACATTATGTGGATTATAACCCTGGTTCTGTTGAACTTGTTTTTGCATGTTCTGTCAATTGTGGGTTTTACGAATAACAGGTAGCTAAGTCTATGCTTTTTATCACTGCAACAGCACCGTTGTCATCTTAGAGCTTTGAGTTTCAACAAGATCCAGCATTTTAAAGTTACTTTTATTATTTTTACTGAAATTACTTAGGGTGCGGTGTGATCAAGACAACAATATCTTCGAAACAAGATAGAAAGGGATAATCATCTTTTCAATGCATTTTTATCTTCAATATTTTTATTTCATGTATCAATAATGCATATTTTGGGTACCATCAATGCTTTTACGTAAATTAGGTGCCAAATTGCCAAAATTTCAAAGATTTAGGGACTTAATTGAAGAAATCCGAATCCAATGGGGGTAAAGTGCAGACCGCAGGCTGGGAAAAGTTAGGATGTAAACAAAAGAGATCGAGGAAAGACATTTAAATAACATGCAATTAAGATTTATTAAAAGTGATTGAATAATTTTACATGTAATCATGATACTTTAAATTTAAGAACGTTCTTGGATTTTACATTTTTTTTCCCTTTCTCAAAGCAAAAAAGGCCAAGGAACGAACCTGGGTCTTCGGGCAAGTGGCTCCAGCCATGCTTGTAAGGTTCATATTCTTCTCTCAGAGCGATAGTTCGAGCCGGCCTATGACAAAATATTCAAATAAAAAAAAAAAAACCAAGGAACTTCATTACAGAAACGGCGTCGTTTATGTCATCAAAAAGTCAGAAAAAACAGAAAAGAAAAAGGAGAAACTGCGTCGCACCCAAAATGATGTTCTGAGATTGCCCTCGATTCTGCAATTAGGAATCCTTCCTTCCAGAAAATCGTAACCCCAAAACAAAACCATCTCAAAAATCCTCCCGTTCCTGTATCTGTAGCAATCAATTGGATTCCTTGGGCCGTTGGGGAAAGGAAGATTGGAAGCAAAACAACACGGCAAAGACGCAATCATCCTAAAAGAGGAAGGAAGGAAGGAAGGATGGAAAAAGCAGACATAGAGAAAAAAAGGTTTAATTTTTTTTCCCTTGATCAATCACCATCTAGGCATTTACATCGTGATGTTGTGCAAAATTTTTGGAAATGAGTAAATGGGAATTAGGGGGCTGTAATTTTTCTGGTTATTTATGGAAAGGGGTAGGAGAGAACGGAGCCTTCATTTTTAATACTGGCAATTTATATGCTTGTAGTAAGAAATGTCATACTCTATATATTCCTGAGATCATATCATTGCTTGATTTAATTAATTTTTATATTATGAATTGTTTGGTTAGGATGGAGGGAGGGGAGGATCGCATCTCGGTGTTGCCAGAGGTAATCATTCACAAAATCATGGATTACCTCCCCACAAAAGCTCTAGTTCAAACCTGCACCCTCTCCAAAACATGGTACACTCTCCAGCAATCTTACCCTTGCCTCCATTTTAATCTCGATGACTTTAGTTCCTCGGGGTTTGAGCATTTTGGAGAATCCGTTTACAATTCATTAAATCGATTCCAAGGGAAAGGGCTTTCTTTGCAGAGAGTTGAAATAATAGTTGATCAAGATGAAGGTGTTGGTCATGTTGATAGCAATGAGCTTTGCAAACATGCACCTAGTTGGATAGAATTAGCACTAGATGTTGGGGTAAAAGAATTAGTTGTCTACCTTGGTCACAAGTCATATACCTTTGACTTCTGGCCAGTTTCGAATTTCACCAAGTGTTATTCCAGAACATTAGCTTGTTTGAGTGTTGCTGGTTTTATTCTAGAGAAGCCAGTTTCGAATTTCCCCCAGTGTTATTCCAAAACATTAGCTTGTTTGAGTGTTGCTGGTTTTATTCTAGAGAAGCCAGTTTCATCTATATTTGGAAAATTTGAGTCCCTTGCTAAGCTGGTTTTGTATAACTGCGAGATTAAGGGTTCTGCAGTTTTAAAACTCACCACCCACTTCCCTTTGCTTGAAAATTTAGATATTATTGACTGTTTTGGTTTTGAGAGTGTCAGTGTCTCTAACCTCACCAGAATGAAGAATCTTAAAGTTTTGGCATGGGGAGGTCGTCCCGTGAGCATTGAAGTTGCAGCTCCAAGTCTTGAAATTTTGTGCTTAGAAAGTAAGACAATCAGCATGTGTGGGTGTCATAATTTAACTTTCTTATTGCTGCATGATGTAGTATTATCAGAAAAGGAGCTTTATTGCATTCTTTCTGAACTTCCTGTGCTTGAGAATTTGAGCCTTGTTGGATGCTGTTGTCAAGTGGTTAAGATTTGCAGCCAACGTCTCAAGACTTTAATTTTAGAGGACTCTTTTGTGATGACCATTGAACTTGTAACTCCATCTTTGAATACCTTTATCCTTGGATGTGGGGATGGGGACTGGCCTTTGATCAACATAGTTGACCGTCATTGTTTGAACAACTTGTTGTTGCATCATACAAGAATTACAGACCAAGAGCTTCTTGACTTCATTTCTGAACTTCCACAATTGGAGTATTTGTGGATTTCTGAATGCAGTGAGCTAGAAAGAGTGAAGATCTCTGGTCAAAATTTGAAGAGACTATGCATAACTGGAGGTTTGATGTTGAAATTGGAATCTATAGAGGTTGATACTCCAAACTTATGTTCATTTTGTGTCACAAATATTCCAATATCAAGTTCTTCAATAGTTGTACGTCAACCGGCTGTTAGATTTGAGGAAAGATGCAGAAGTGAAGAAGCATTTTGGGCTGGTAAATTGGGGGAAATGCTACATTTTTACCTTGAAGTTAGTGATGCTGCAGTTATTGACATTCTCACTTCCATATTATTAGAGATGGTTTGTGGTGATGTGTCATGGGATTTCTTTGAGTGCAATCCTGGGATCTATATTCACACAAGCAGTGGTGGATTCAAGTAAGTTTCTTCACTGTCTCTTCATAAAATTTGTTTGCTTGTTCATAAGATATTGTCTTCTTTGCATCTTCTACATGATGGTTTTTAGGAATATTGTGCTCTCACTTGAATTCTATAACACTGCTTATCCTTTCCTGCACTTGCTCTTTCTTCACCTCTGCTTTTGGGGAATATAAAGACATTACCACTACCCTGTCATTTCGTCAAAGCTGTAGTAAGCTTCAATTTTATATGTTATCCTTAGTCTGTTCATCCAATCCAAATGTTTGCTTACAATCACTTAAAAGCAACAAAATGTCTGGGAGTGTAAGCTTATTGAATACTGATCAATTGCAGTGGGTAATATATGTTTCATATTTGTATGACTCAATCTTTGTTGATTTGAATATGCAGCTAATGGGATATTAGAACGTACAATATTTCTTATCCACTGTCTTTTGAGGATATTGGGAGTCCCTAATTGATCTTATCTTGTTTATAAAGCTATGAGCTTGGGAGACGAACAAAGTATCAAGTATCAAGCAACAAGCAGCAAGGAGGACGAGGGTTCAATGGGGGAAAACTGAAGTGGTGCTCTGAGACTTGACAAGAAACTATTCATGGGGGAGATTAGGTTGTGACTCGGAATACCAGAAATGTATGTGGTTTACTATGCCTCCAAATTCGAGTTGTTTTGTACTCAAAACATTGATGTAGAGTGCCATTGTGTTAAGGACCCTAGGTTTAATTGTTCTGCCAATTAACTTCAGCATTACTCTCATTTGCCTGAACTTGTGTAGATTGTAATTACTGTTGATTGTGTACAACGAGAGGAGAAATACCCCTTCTGTACAGGGTAAAGAAACACGAGAGGAGGTTCAACCCTACTCTTTCTTTAAATCACAAGGGAAAACTTCAAGTTGATGACTTGATGCAGCTCCATTCAGGCTGTGGTAATTTATGATATTTCTTCATTATTTTTATAAGACATAATTATATACGTGTTGTTTATTGGCCTTTATTGAAGCAGTCTTGGCAATTTAGATTTTTAAATGTAATATTGTCTTATATATATTTAAAATTTCATCTTTGGTAATATCCCCTAATGTAAGTACTACCGAATGTTAAAAAAAAGAAGGAAAAAAACCATTGCAAAGAAATGAAACTTGTGGGTAGCTAAATAATCATTAGATGGGAGAGATCCTTCCATATTAAAGGTCTCTCAGTGATTGTAATAGTTGTGTAATTCAATAGTCTCGATTGTAAAATATTTCTTTCACTTGATATTTTTCAACTTTATGGGACTTAATTGACAATTGCAAAAATAGAGGAACCATAAATAACAGATTCAAAATAATTTTTTTAAAAAAATTTCTGCTCTTCCCTTCTGTACCTGCCACTTCCTATAGCGGACTCTCTTGCCTCTGTGTGGTTTCGTCTCCATAGAGATCGGCGAGAATAGCGTCCCACTGTGGAGGCAGAGCAACCTGCTACTACATCTTCAACAGAGACCCCATCTTCGACCCAAGAACGCGAAAGTTCTTTCTAAACGTTTCGGCGTTTCGCTTCTTCAAACACGGTCTCCTCAACACTAAATGGCGATCCACCGCCGCTACCCGCCTTCACGTTTTGAGGTCTGCGTTCTGACTTTTCATCCATGCAGCTTCATCTCTTGGGTTTAATTTTTGGAATACATCATTGTCTCGTTAACGAATTGGTGGCAATTTTTTTTTTAAGGAGGATTTTTTATTCATTCTGGGTTTCTAAATGCAATTGAACGAGTAATTTTGCAATCCAGATAAGAAAAATCTAATTTTGAACTTTTTTCTTTTACATTTTGGTATAAAATCATTGACAAGCTAAGTTAAAGCTTATTGATTTCGGAATGGAACTTCTATAAATATTCACATTTGGCTCGAAATACTGTCAAAAGAATATTTGGGAAACCAAATTTACTTAAATGCATATACGGAAAAGAATGAATGCGATGAAGTGATATGTTCTGTCCAGTCCAGTTGCAGATGGAAAGTAGGAAAAGAATGCAAATTGGAAACACAATGAAAATTCAGATGTAGCTTTTAGCTGAGCTAAATTTAGTAATCGATTTTTCTTTTTTAAGAAATTGGAGTTTGTGGAATCATTCTTCATTTATATTGCTTCTACTAATACCTTAAAAGGCTGAAAAGAGACTGAAGATGGAATTATATTTTCAACCATGAAATGAAAACACCAAAATCAAAGCGGTATGAAGTGTGTCAAGCTTCAAAATGGAAAATAATAACCATATATAACTTGAGCTTCCAATATAAAGAAAGATACATGCATCATTCAAGGTGCTGTAGTGATATATATTAGTAGGTATTTTGCTTGCTTGATCTTGTATGCATAACCTTACTTGTCAGAGTTTCATAGTTCCTCAAGAGGGATAATGATCTTAGATGCATGCTATACTGAATCAATTTGTTCTTGTGACTTCATGGTTGTCACTGAATGGGACTTTTCTTAGTCCTATATTTCCTATTCCCTTGTATACTATGCTGGATAAGACATTTTCCACATCAGCAAAATGCCTTGCTTAGGTGGCTTGATAATTGATATGATGGTTGGAATGTTATTTTGAACCCAATTAAGCTACAAAATTAGGGAACTCTGTACTCTGTCATATGGTATTTCCATTTCGTTTATTCTAACTCTCTCTTTTAAATTTTATATATTGCAAGCTGATAGTTTATGATCTCTGTGTTGCGTCATGGATGATCGAGAGAAATCAAGATCCATAATATTGAAATCAGAAAAACACAAGAGGGTGCCTATATTTGTAATGATGCCTGTTGATGCATTTGCCATTGATGCCACTGGAAGTCCAAGGATTAGAAAGTGAGGTTCAGGCATTAAATCTCTTCTATTTCAAATTGAGACCTCATAGGATCCAGTTTTTCTTTTCAATAACTCAATTTAGGTATTCTTTCCTCTCTTAGTAAAATGGAAATATATTGCTTTTTGTTGTTCCAGAATCAAGGCCTTAACTGTATCTTTAAAAGCACTCAAGTTGGCAGGTGTTCATGGAATTTGAGTTGAGGTCTGGTGGGGAATTGTGGAATGCCTTTCTCCTCTTGAATATGATTGGTCTCTATATGAAGAGCTCTTTAAACTTACATCTGATTCAGGGCTGAAGTTGCATGTTGCACTGTCCTTCCACTCAAACACTAACTCATCAGGTGAAAAAGGGAGCATAAGTCTTCCACTGTGGATTTTAGAGGTTCGTTCTCTTACTCTGCTGACCAACAAGCTAATGGATGGATGCAACCTAGTCACAGGTTAGTTGGTTGTCCTACTGAATTCTTCAACTTTGTTATACTTTGGTCAAAATGAAGAGACTGGCAGAAAAATTTCCCGAGTTCCAAAGAAAACACACAAGATTATCCAGCCAAAACTATCAATATGCTAGTGTAATGTACTTGACTAATCTTGATTTTGTCTCTGGTGTCCAAGCTGTCCTATTGACAAGGTTGCTCGGTAAGAAACTATCTAGGTCTTGAGTGCATTCTAATTATTAGTATAGCCAGAAAGTAGGATCCCTGATAATTTTTTTATTGAAATTCTTTTCTCAGATTGGTAACCTGAATACGGATATATATTATCAAGATCGACATGGTTTCTCCAATGATGATTACCTTACTCTAGGGGTAGACCAACTTCCCCTGCTCTCTGGCTGGAAGACCCTCCAATGTTATGAAGACTTCATGTATAATTTTGTTAACATATTTGAACCCTTTATTGGAACTGTTATTGAAGAAATAACTGTCGTTCTTGGCCCTTCTGGAGAGCTTAGGTATTAATATAGCTTTTTCACTCTTTTTCTTGTTTTGTTTCTTCTCTCTTTTGCCCAAACTATAAAGTTATTGATGAACCACAGATACTTATAATGCAGGTATCCTGCTCATCCTTTTGATGGTAGATAGAGTTTTCCTGGCATAGGCGAATTCCAGTGTTATGATAAATACATGTAGTTAAAGCAATTTAATCTTGTGCTATTGGTTTGGTTGTTTGATGATGCTCACAAGATCAACTCCCCTTCAGGATGGAGGACTTGAAGATGGCTGCTTGTCAAGAAGGAGTGCCTCAGTGGGGGAACAGAGGACCAGAATGCTGGGTGTTACAACAATCTTACATCAAGGGTGCCCTTTTTTGAAGGAGAGAAAAGCTTTCTATGTGGTGTGTGTGCAGAGTTATTTATTTAATACTTCCATGCCAAAATTTATGCTTGATTGAAACGTTGTGTACTTCCTGGAGAACAAACATTAAAGTGCTAAATGACCTAATGTTAAAAGATGTATGAAAAAACCATAACATGGGTTAAAAGAACTTCTCTTTTGTGAATTATGCTTCCATCTCAACAATTTTATTTTTTGCGACTTCGTTTGCAGCTGCTTGGAAACGATGGACAGTGAAACCCCGTCTAAATATTTTTACAGCCCTGAAGGATTACTCCAACAGGCATGAATGAGTTCATTTACAAGGACTCCTTACTTCCCTGCTCAGAAATGCCTGCCTTGCTGTTTTTAATTGCTTTAACACTAACAAGTGGTCATACATGTGATCTTGATTAACCAATCAAATTGGCATCTATAAACTTCCAATGATAATAACTTTCATTTTTAACACTCTTTTATGACCTAATTGAGGCAAATTCTATTTAGTTCTACTTCTACGTTCTATCTACCTTAATATGGTTACATTTTTTACAACTGAAAATTTCCCCTCAAAACAAGTTGAAGTTAATACAAGGTCATCCTTTCTCCAATCACTTTATATCTATTTCTCTTTTAAAATTCAGCTGCCTCCAAACCAACTCTCTCAACTACTTAGGATCACATGCCAGTGTCTTTAAACTCACCTTTTTTTACAGCTGTACTGTAGGCTTTCTTTCTCTTTCCTGTTGAAAGTTTGAGATAAGATCTTAAGAACCATGTAGCTTGACATTTAAAATGCAACTTGTCTCACTTATTTTTATGTGCTTCTCTTGCACTTAATATTAATATTTTCCACCTACCTTGACTTAACAATGCAGATGAGGTCTGTTTCAAAGAAAAGGATAATACACATGATAGGAAGAAATACAAACCAGCGGTTTGACAAGGTAATTATTATTCTATTTTGACGAAATGATACCTATCATAAACTTACTTTTAATAAGATTTTATAATCAGATTTTTAAAATTTTAACCTGGTAATAACTAATGATATACTTTCTTTTTAAAATCTTGCAGATTGGACCGTGGAAAATACATTCAAACTGTTACCATCCCCAGGCAGAAGCTGTAAGATCATATACTTGTTTCAGAATGAATGATAAAATATTTAGGGTTGAGAATTGGAATAACTTTGTACGCATTGTCAGAATGATGAGCATGGATCTGTAAAAATGCTGTTAAGCCTGTCTAACCATTTCCAACACTAATTAAGCATGGTAATCTCACCACCCCTAACTTACTTTTTCTGGGTGTGGGGGTGATGTCCTAAAAGGCTTTACAACTTTTCAAATATCTTGTTAAGAATACCTATATCCTTGGTAAATTTTGATGGTTTGGGGTACTAATTAAGTACCAGAAGAGAAATTTTTTTTTTTTATTTGAATAATGATAGAAAGTAGAAAAAATTTGGTTGGCTGGATTTTGGCATTGTTAACCTTTTTGTTAAATTAGAGATGGGGCAAATCGAGAGGCGTTAGATAGTTTTCTGGAGTTTCTCGCCCTGAACGTGTAAAGAAAGCACCATTAAACATTAAATCTCCAATTCCGGTTCTTCCACTCAGCACCATCTGAATCTTCCCGTTCCATCACCTGAATGAGAAATAAATTCTTCAGAACACAGGGAAAGCTGACAGAATCTGTTGGAGAAAAGTTTTTAAGGTACCTGGCCTTTAATACGTTGCTTTGTTAAGTGAAAGGCTATTGCACAGAACTCTTTGTTGTTCATCTTCTATTCTTATTCTGCCTTTAACTCAGATTGACATTTACCATAGGCACTGAGCATTTATATGCTTAGGTAATCCTAGTTAGTCATTTGTAACCAAACATGCCCATTTCATTGTGTTATGGTTACAACAATGAAGTTTCTTGTTACTGAGTTACCATAGCTAACGGTAAACTGGATGATTTAATTGTATTTATGTTCTGATAGAGAACCTTGCCTATTTGGTGGAACTGTTATTTGATGCTACGAAGACATTTCCCCACCAAAGTATCTATGTGAAAGTAACCCCATGCTTGCATCTGAAACAAGTCAGCATCAAGTTTATAAGCCAAATCATATTTGGCATGGATAGGGAAGCATAAGCATCTAATTGATTGCTAAATGTGCAGGTTGATGATGTAGAATGCTATCTTATGTTCTACCTGCCCCGAAGAAATTGAAGGTGAAAGTAACTTGCATGTTCTTGTGGGCTACATATTCATCATTGGACCCATAAGCGTGACTATATTGTGATGCGGCATGTGGTTGTTAGAGAAAGTTAGCCTATCATGGCACCTTGCCATCTTTCCCCTATTTAATTTTTGAAATTTTAATAATAAAAAATTGAAAATTTTGAATCTGTCAAGTGTTACTTCAGGTTTTATTATTATTATTTTATTGTTATTATTATTAATGTAACAGGGGACAAAAAAGTACTTACGGAAAATCAGTGAATGGACTCATTGGGCACCATTTGAAGTTAAGGGACTAATTTAGTATTAATCACATAAGTTGAGGGACAAATCGGGTATCATACCATCCCATAATAATTTATATCGCAAGGAAAAACTAAAAAGTTCCTTATTCAATTCTTTAGGGAAAAAAAAAAGAGAGAAAAGAACAATGTGGTCTTAACATGATATACAGAACAAGAATATTGCAAGAGAACAGTATACATATATTTTATCTCTAAAAAATTAAAAGAAAAATTATTTTAAATTGCATCATTTTAATAAACTTTCATTGAAAAAAAGTTAAAATAT